GTGCATGGGCTGAAGGTGGTACCTCTTGGAGGTAGCAATGCGGTACAGGGAAGAGCCAAGCAGGCTGGCTGCCATGAAACTGGAGAAGACAATGCCCAGCGGAGCCCCATGTGGGTCCAGCACAGGCGTCCAGAGGAAGACAAAAATGAAGATGACGCTCTCAAACAGGGCTTGTATGGTGCCTAGCAGCAGCACGCGGCGGTCCGACAGGAGGCAGCGTAGGCCTCCAGCACAAGTCCTTGAGAAGGCACGCTGCCGATCATAGTTCTCTCCCCAGTTATGAAGGGCCAAGGCCCCAGCCAGAGCCAAGAGAGGGATGGCAGCCACAAAGGGCGCCACGGGCCCCAGCCCCATCCAGCAGGCCACCGCTTCAGCTGCCACACCTGCCGCTACAGCCAGCACATGGTTCCAGAAGGCAGCTCGGGCAAAGGTAGCTGGGATCCACTCAGCAGGGAAGTCGTGACGCTCCACGTGTTCATGGACGTACCAGGCCTCGAAGGCGGAGAAGAGCAGCGCTGTGGACAGCCCTCCGAGGGCTCGGCCCATCAGCAGCACAAAGTAATCCCAAGAGAGTTTGGTTAAGCAGCAGAGAGAGTAAGTGAGGGAGAAGAGGACACAGGACTTCTTGCGACCCAGCCAATCCACAAGGGAGGAGGCCACCAGTCCAAAAAGGACTGTGGAGGCAAGGCCGCAGACATAGAGGATGGCAATCTGCCCCTCCAGGAAGTGGTAATGCTGATAGAGTTTGTAGAGGTAGGGGGCCTGGAGCCAGTCAGCCGCCAGGGCCAGGAAGTAGACCTGATAGAAGTCCAGTTGAAACCGGAGGAAGGAGGGGTTGCTGCAGGCCCTTCCAGGGGGCTTAGCCCGGCATCTTGACAGCTCCAACCCCAGGCAGGAGGCCAGGAGGACCACAAAAGCAAGATAGGCAGTCACCAGCATGGCGGGCCCCCGGACGACCTAGGGGAGGAAGGGGGGTGGGAGTTACATCCATTGCCCGGGTAGCACTGCCAAGGGGCGGATGCCCACGCAGAAGCAGCTGCACCCGCCCCCCCGCCCCCCCCCCCCCCGCCACCTGCACTTCCCCGCCGCTCAGCTCCACTCCCCCGGAGCTCGGACCGGAGGGACCAGTTGGGTGGGTGGGAGGAGCGGCCCGCCAGGCCGGGTCTCCCGGGACACTGCGGGGCAGGGCGGGGCGAGGGGAGAAGGAGCATCCGCCCCACCCTTGCCCGGCGCAGCAAAGAGGGGGTCCCCTCGCCCAGCTCGGCCTCCGCAGGCGCGTCACCCCCACGCTCTCCGGGCCGCTCCACTGGGCCCCCGAGCGTCCCGCCCGCGCCGGCCTCCAGAGCCGCTCCAGGGTCACGCGCGCGCACCCCGGGCCCGGCCCCCCCCCCGCGCCCCCGAGCCCCAGCCCGGCGCCCCCGCAGCGCCACGCCTGCTCGCGCCTCGCCCCAACCGCGGCTCACCTGCTGCCCCGGGCTGCGGGGACGCCGCGGACGCGTCCGGCTCCAGGCCGCCCCGCCGCCCAGCCCGCTCGACGTCCGGCTCCGGCTCGGGCTCGGGTTCCAGCAGCGCGCCCGCCCCTCACAGCCCGCTTCCGGGAGCCGGGGAGGCCTCTGGCCGCCGCCATGATGGCCCCGTCACGTGACGGGGTGAGGCGCCCAAGCCCCGCCCCCAGGCCCGCCCAGGCCCCGCCCCCGCGCTCCAGGCCCCGCCCCCGGCTCCCGGAGGCCGCCGAGCTGGGTGGGGGCGGCGGCAGCTGGCCCTCCCCGCGGCCTTTCCGTGACAGCCGCTCCGACGACTCCCGGGTACCTGCGGCGCCGCCTCCAAATAAAGACCCACTTCCTCTCTCTCCTCCGTCACACGGGCAGTGCCGCAGCCCTGCAGACGCGCGGGCTGCCCTCCGCGGGCCGGTCCGCTGTAGCGCCCTGGGCCCCGACGTGGTGCGGCCCGGACACCTGGGGGAGGCGGTGTGGGCCAAGGACTTGGACTGCGGCCTGGGGACGCAGCCGGCCGAGGCCCCAATCCCCGAGCCGTCACTTACTGTCCCAATTTCTTTGCCTGCTGTCAGGGGGGAGCAGTGCCCGAGGAAAAAGGGCGAAGGGTCAGCCCGGTTGCTGCATGCCCACCTCTCGCCCCTTACCAGCTGTGCTCCCCTGGAAAGGTTCTTTCCCTTGTGCTCCAGATTTAAGAGTGGCTCGACGGCTTCTCACCTCACTGAGCCTGGAAGCCTAGACCTTCGTGATGACCTAGAAACCCTCTGTGTCGGGTTCTTCTGCCACTTCTCTGACTTTATCTACAATTCTCCCTCCAGACTTTTTTTTTTTTTTAAGATTTTATTTGCTTTATTCATGAGAGACAGAGAGAAAGGCAGAGACACAGGCAGAGGGAGAAGCAGGCTCCATGCAGGGAGCCCAACGTGGGACCTGATCCTGGATCCCCCGATCATGGCCTGAGCCAAAAGCAGGCGCCCAACCACTGAGCAACCCAGGCATTCCTCTCTCCAGACTCTTCCTACTCCATCTGTATTGGGGACCTCCAGGGCCTTTGCACACTGTGCCCTGCAAGGTTCTTCTCCCAAAGACCCACATGATTCCCTCCTTCAGCCCCTCGGGTTTCCTGTTCCAAGGTTGCCTTATCAGAGAGGCCTTCCCGGGCCATCCTGTTGAAAACAGCAACACGGCCACCTCCACTAGAGATGTACCTGCTGTCCTTCCAGCCTCATTCCCCTTTGCTGCCTTTTCTCCATAGCACTTAACACCATCTGGCACATTATGTATTTTATTTATTTATTATCTCTTCTCCCTAAAGATTTTTATCTATTTGTTCACTTGTGTTTCCAGTACTTAAAACAGTTACTGGGGTGGGGAGTGGGGTGGGGGGATGCACCTCGTTGGCTCAGTCAGAAGAGCACTTGCCTCTTGGTCTTGGGGGTGGGGTGGAAGTGGGCGTTCTAACCCCATTTGGGTGTAGACATCACTAAAAAAAAGAAATAAAGTTGAAGAAAAAACCCCAACAGTTATTGGTAAGTAAAAAGCATTCAATAAACATTTGATGAAGAAATGAATAAATTAATCTAGATAAATTAGTCTAAAAAGTGCTGGCCCCTATTAGCTGGTAATTCTCATCACTTATCTATATGCAGCTAAGCTCCGTTTTAAGAATTCCTGGGCTAGGACAGCCCCAGTGGCTCAGCAGTTTAGTACTGCCTTCAGCCCAGGGCGTGATCCTGGAGACCCAGGATCGAGGCCCAAGATCAAGTCCCATATCGGGCTCCGTGCATGGAGCCTGCTTCTCCCTCTACCTGTGTGTCTGCCTCTCTCTGTGTGTGTGTGTCTCTCATGAATAAATAAATAAAATCTTAAAAAAAAAAAAGAATTCCTGGGCTATCTGCTATAGATCAATTAACTGTCACAACAACCCATAAGGTAGGTACTATTATTATCCTTGAGAGTTGGAAAGGTTATATAATATGCCCAGAATCTCATGGTAAGAGGCAGAATTAGAACTGGGACCCAGATCTTTCCAGTTCCACTCTCATGTGGTTTCTGAGAAGATTAAATGAGTTTACTCATTTGCACAGGCGATTAGTAAATGTTGGTTTCCTTTATACTAAAGCTTAGAAGGCAGAGGGATTACATCTTGAGAAATACTTTTTTTTTTTTTTTTTTTAAGTAAGCTCCACCTGGGCGTGGAGCTTAACACAGGGCTTGAACTCACCACCCTGAGATCAAGGCCTGAGCTGAGTAAGATCAAGAGTCTGATGCTTAACTGACTGAGCTACCCAGACACTTGGAGGAATACTTTCTTGTAATAAACAACCAAGATAACCTACAAGTTCCAGAGTTTATTCCCAACTGGCAAACTCCTACAGAGTAGTAAGGGGCAATGGTAATGGTTCCATGGTTCCCATGCATTCATCTAGAAACACAAAGATTAAAAACCATGTTTCCCCAAGGTAATTCAGTGAATGAGAGGATAAGCAACCCAAATACTCTCCATCCTAGTCCTGGACTAAAGCTTCTTCGAACTCATGACACCTGTTTCTTTTGGGGAGGAGGTCATCCTGAATGAAGGCAAGAGTGGGGCAGGATGGCCTTACATTCCTGGCCTCTTTTCCAGGAGGGAGGCCAATTTTCTCCCATTGTTGAGCTGCATTTTGCTCAGAAGCACTTGGCAAAGAGACTTACAGCAAGATTACATTATTTTGGATTTTTTTTTTTTTGTCTTTGGCCTATTGTGGGACCTATTAAAAATGTGTTTAGTCTTAAGTCTCCCCTGTCCCCTACAGAACTGTGAAGCACAGCTGGGAAACATCCTAACATGGGAAATGTGCCAGCAGAAGACTGGAAAGGATAAAAGGCAGCCTGTGAGCACAACCCATCTCTAGGACATACTTCTAGTAGAGGGCAAGGAGGGCTGAGGTCTGTGTATTGGGGAGCCACAGGGGAAGTTCTGTTTTCAGGGAAGGTGGGAGAGTGCTCTGGGGATAACTAGGAACCCTGCTCACCAGAGGAGCATCATTTAAAACTTGTATTATGAAAGTGTTCAAACATACACAAGGGTAGAGAGTGTAGTTCTACAAACCCCTATATAAATGTAATAATATTAATTTTGTCACTTTGTTCGTTCTACTCCTTTCAGTCCCTTTTTATTTGCCAAAAATTTTTAAAGTAAGTATGTCACTTCACTCCATACTTTGACATACATCTCTAGGAAATAAGGCCCTTTTCTTACATAACCCCAAAGCCATTTTATATCCAACAAAATCAATACTGATTTCTTGGCATTGTAAATAACCAGTCCATAATTAAAAGGCTCTAAAATGCTCTTTTTACAATTGGATTGTCCAAATCAGGAACCAAACAAGATCCACATGCTCCATATAATAGTTGTCCTTTAATTATTCTTTATTATTATCCCCCCCCCCCCAGCCATTGACTAGTTGAAGAAGTTGGGTCATATTTCCTTGAAAAGTTTCCACATTCTGAATGTGTCTTCCTACTTTCTCACTGTGTCATTTAAATTGTTCCTCCATCCCTGATATTTCCTTTTAAATGGAGGTTAGTTCTAGAAGTTTGATTTGAATCACATTCAGGTTTTTTGTGTGTTTATTCCTTATTGTTTGGCAAGAGTCTTTCTTGGTGGTGCTTAGTGCTTCAGATTATATCACATCAGGATGTACGAAGTGGGTGGTTGTGCCCCTTTCAGTGGTGGTAAGATTCATCAGTGGGGTCAGGTGGTGACAGCTTGATTCCTCCATTGTAAAGTTCCCCATCAACCATCATCTTTGGTTTCCTCCATTCATGATTCTCCCTTTGATTAATTATTTCACTAAGAGTTGCAAAATGGTTTTTCTAATTCCATATTCCTTCCACATTAGCTGGAATTCTGCCGTAAATGAGAAGTTCTCTCCACCACTTAGAGCTATTTGGCTACCCTGGAATATAGTTTATATAGGACAAGCAACATAAATACTTAATTCTTTTTTTCCCCCAAAAAATCGTTTTATTTATTTATTTATTTATGATAATCAGAGAGACAGAGAGAGAGGCAGAGACACAGGCAGAGGGAGAAGCAGGCTCCATGCACCGGGAGCCGACGTGGGATTCGATCCCGGGTCTCCAGGATCGCGCCCTGGGCCAAAGGCAGGCGCTAAACCGCTGCGCCACCCAGGGATCCCAAAAATCGCTTTTTTAAAGTAATCTCTACACCCAGTGTGGGGCTTGAACCTACAAGCCCAAGACCAAGACTTGCATGCTCCACTGACTGAGCCAGCCAGATGCCCCAGTTCTTTTGCTTTTTAATTGCTAATATTCAGAATAAGAAGTTGGAAGAAGGGCAGCCGGGTGTCTCAGCAGTTTAGCGCCCCCTTCAGCCCAGAGCCTGATCCTGGAGTCCCAGGATCGAGTCCGATGTTGGGCTCCCTGCATGGAGCTTGCTTCTCCCTCTGCCTGTGTCTCTGCCTTTCTCTCTGTCTCTCATGAATAAATAAATAAAATCTTAAAAAAAAAAGAAGAAGAAATTGGAAGAAGCACCATTTTTAGAACGTTTGAGCTGGGCAGCCCCTGTGGTGCAGCGGTTTAGTGCCACCTGCAGCCTGGGGTGTGATCCTGGAGGCTCAGGATTGAGTCCCATGTCGGGCTCCCTACATGGAGCCTGCTTCTCCCTCTGCCTGTGTCTCTTCCTCTCTCTGTGTGTGTGTCTCTATGAATAAAAAAATAAAAATCTAAAAAAATAAAATAAAAAAAAATAAAAAATAAAAATCTTTAAAAATAAAAATAAAAAAATAAAACGTTTGAGCTTAGACCTGAGTAGGGATGGACGGCCTGGATCATGGATGGGGAAAGGAAGGACTATTCTGGTAGCTGTGTCCAGCCCTTGCTCACATCAGTGCTTAGGGCATGTGGGGACAGACAGACATTGGAGGACTCACTGTCCTGAATTTCATGTTGCAGTGAGATGGGCATGACACAGGCATGGTGTGCGGGTACCTCTAGGACCCCAAAAAGAGAGAGAGAAAAAGCCAGATATGGGGAGGCGAGAGAGATAAGAAGTGAAAGAAAAACAGCTAGATGCAGAAGACAGGGGGAGACAAGGACAAAAAGGAAAATAGAAATGAAAGAGATCCGGCAGTCCGGATGGCCCAGCGTTTGGCGCCACCTTCGGCCCAGGGCGTGATCCTGGGGTCCCCAGGGTCGAGTCCTGTGCCCCGCAGGGAGCCTGCTTCTCCCTCTGCCCCTCTCTCTGTGTGTCTCATGAATAAATAAATAAAATCTTAAGAAAAGAATCTTCAGGGCAGCCCGGGGGGCTCAGTGGTTTAGTGCTGCCTTCAGCCCAGGGCGTGATCCTGGAGTCCCGGGATCGAGTCCAGCGTCGGCCTCCCGGCATGAAGCCTGCTTCTCCCTCTGCCTGTGTCTCTGTGTCCCTCAAGAATAAATAAGTAGGGGGAATCCCTGGGTGGCGCAGCGGTTTGGCGCCTGCCTTTGGCTCAGGGCGCGATCCTGGAGACCCAGGATTGAATCCCACGTCGGGCTCCCGGTGCATGGAGCCTGCTTCTCCCTCTGCCTGTGTCTCTGCGCCTCTCTCTCTCTCTCTGTGTGTGTGACTATCATAAATAAATAAAAATTAAGAAAAAAAAAGAATAAATAAGTAGGTAGAATCTTTAAAAAATAAAATAAAATTAAAAATAAATCAGATGGGGAAATGGAGGGAGAAATAGAGAGATAGAGAAGAGGGAAAACTGACATAGAAACAAAGTTAGCTGAAGGCAGAATGTCCCAGGGACGCAAGGAGGAAGTAGGAATGGAGAGAGAATTGTAGGAAGACGGAGGAAGGGTAGAGAGAAGGCTACCCAGGGGTAGAAAGGAAAGAACAAGGGGCCCCAGAGGAGGAGGCTGAGGGAGAGAACACTGGAACAGACTAGTATCTGAGGACTTGAGGAATGAGGGGGGGCACTTGGGGGCTCTCGGCTTAGGGTTCAGTCCTGGGCAGCTTCCCCTGGTGGCTTCTCCAAACCCCCAGCCCCACCCCTAGGGACAGGGATTCTGAGCAGCCAAGTGGATGGGATCACTGGGAGCCTGGGTCTAGGGTTCCCAACCGCCCTTGTCCCCATACCGGAGGAGCATGGGTGTCACAGGTGGGGTTATTTGCTGGAAGGCTGAGGTCATGAAAGACGACATCCAAAAAAAAAAGAAAGAAAGAAAAGAAAGACAAGATATTCAGGCAGAGAACACCAGGTTCCTAGTAGCAAAGGACCATGAAGGGTGTCATAATATCCGGGGGGGCAAGAGCCAGGAACCCCCTGGTCAGCCTTCTCTTCTGGTCCAAGAGCCACTGACCGTCTTGGCCTGACTGAAGGTGAGAGGTAAGGGGTCCAGGGCCTCTTGGTCAGCAGGGACATGGGTGGAGGTCCACGGGGCAAAAAGGTGGCCTCTGGACCAGAATCCCCTCCTGCCCGTAGAGGAGGAAGGCACCTTGTCCATGCACACTAGAGGGGAGCCAAGAAGGCCCTCCTCCGGCAGACGCCGGCTAGAGAAGAAGCTGTCCAACGTGCTCACCTTCCGCTGCCGCGAGGGAGACTCTGAGAAGCGCTTTCCGTTCCAGAAGTCGCGGAAGAGGAGGCCCTGGAGCCTGCGGGACCAGAACCAGAAGCAGAGAGGAACACCGAAGCACATGGCCTGCTCTCAGGGCTGAGCGGGAGCCCCCGCCTCTACCTGTCCGGCCTCTCCTCCCTTCAGAGCTTCTGCGTCCCCAGGAAGCAGGTGGCAGGGAAGCTGGGGAGACGGACCACCTCTCAGGGGCCCAGAGCCCCCTAGACTATCAGACAGTGCCTCTGGGTGCTGCGCTGTCCCCTGAAGCGGGCGGCTGGGCCCTCGGAGCAGGGGTGGACGGGGCGGGGGCCCTGGCAGGCTGCCGGGCCCTCGGAGCATGGGTAGGGGGGGCAGGGGCCCTGGCAGGCTGCTGGGCCCTTGGAGCAGGGGTAGACCGGGCAGGGCGAGGCGCAGCAGCAGCTCAAGTGCGGACCAGAGCCCAGGACGCAGGAGCTGTGGGGACAAGTCCAGGGAGGACAGGCGGGGCAGGGGGGGCAGGAGCAGGTACAGGGGGGTCCGGGGAGGCCGGGACAGGAGGGGCAGGTAGCTGCATAGGAGGGATAAGCCGGGCAGGAGCAGGCGGGAGGAGGACAGCCAGGGCAGGGGCAAACACAGGCGGAGGGCGGCCCGGGCGGCCAGGGCGGGGCAGCTGGGGGGCCGTGCCTGGGGGGGCTCGGCGGCCGTGGGTGGGTGGCCTTCTGGTTCCGAGGCCCCAGGCGCAGGCCCAGGGAGAAGTCCATTCCCCTGCGGGAGCGGCCGGGCTGGGGCTTGGGGGAAGGGCAGGGGTGAAGTAGGCGGGGCGGGCGAGAGAGGCAGGGGTGGGGGCAGGATTAGACCTAAGACCCTGCTGAGCCTCTGCGGATCCTGCCGGGAGCTCCGACCTCCCCGGGCAGCCCTCCCCCTCCGGCGGCCCAGAGCAGAACCCTCCCGCCAGGTCTCCAGTCCTTTCTTCCCACTGTTCTTCTGCTGGGCTCCCGATGCTCTTTTTCTTTTCCCCGCCTGGTGACGGTCTCTCATCCCTGAAGTCTTCCCTTTTATTCAATCAAAAGGTTTCTCCTGAGTGCCAGGCACCTGACACCTGCCTCGGTGAGGCCCCCTGCCCGGATGCTCCTCCGGCCCTGACGGCCAGAAAGGCTGCCTCCAGCTCCCAGATAGCCAGCCCCCTAGGGATTTAGGGGGGCAGCGGGGGCAGCAGCAGAGCTGTCTGAGACCCTGAGCCAGGGATGTTGGCGAGAGCGGACGGTGGAAGGAGGATGCCCAGGTTCTGGGGATTTCCAGACAGGGCAAATCCCAGGTGTTTGCGGGGTGTGGGGTGGGGTGGGGGGAGCAATGCCCGGCTGTCTCTGGAAGACTGACAACCAGCCTGGACAATTATTATTTGAGGCCTTATCATGTATCAGGTAGTGAATAAGGCAGCTAAGTTTCCTCTTTTATAGAGCTCCCACAAAAGCGAGGGGTGGGGCAGGGTGGAGACCGAAATGAAACAGGTAAATAAACAAATAGGTGAGCTGATTTCAGAGCATGAGAATGGCTGTGAGAAATGCGGGGCAGACCTGATGAAAGGTGGCTCCCAGAGGTAGGTCCAGCAGGGGCGGCTAGCGGGCCCCCAGACAGTCAGGTATGACAATGCTTAAAGGTTCGGTGGGAAATAGCAGTCTGTCAAAGCCCAGCAGACCAGGGGAGAGCTGCCTGAGGCTGAATGGATCCCTGGTGGTTGGGCTGTGGAGAAAAACAAGACGGGGAGGGGATAAGGAATGTGGGAGGTTGCAATCTAATATTCGGTGGTCAGGGAAGGTGTCACCACGGAGAGGGGATATGTTAGCAAAGACCTGAAGGAAATGAGGGAGAGAGCCCTGGGTAGACCTAGTGGGAGGGCATTCAGCGGAAGGTTGAGCGAGGGAGCAGAAGGGGCAACCCTCAACCCTGGGGGGGGGGCAAAGGGGAGAGTCCTAAGGCACAGGTGGAAAGTAAGGCAGGGGCCCCCCACGCCAGGCCCCGGCTGGGGTTTGGACCTTACTCCAATAAAAGGGAAAATAGGGGAGGGTCTTAAGCAAGAAAGTCTATTGGTCTTCTTGGTCTCCCGCCTGCCCCTGGTTAGAAGGTTCTGCTTCCCTTGTAATTGGTGTAACCACTTTGGAAAACAGTCGGGCATTATCTGATAAATTGAGATGGCCCATAGGAACACTTCGACTCTTAGGTTTTGTCTTTGAAGTAAGCTTTACGCCCAATGTGGGGCTTGAACTCATGAACCCCAAGATCAAGAGTTGCATGCTTTCAGGACTGAGCCAGCCAGGCCCCCCTACCCGACTCTCAGTTTTACAGCCTGGAAGATCTCTTGCACGTATGTTCTGGGAAACGTGTACGAGAATGTTCTTAGCATTGTTTATGACAGGCATACTGAAAACAACTCAAACATCTACCAACAGGAGGATAACAACATAAATTGTGATATATTCTTTTTTTTATTTTATTAAAAAAATTATTCATTCATGAGAGACACAGAGAGAGAGAGAGAGAGAGGCAGAGACACGGGCAGAAGGAGAAGCAGGCTCCATGCAGGGAGCCCGATGCCGGACTCAGTCCTGGGACCCCGGGATCACACCCTGAGCTGAAGGCAGATGCTCAACCACTGAGCCACCTGGGTGTCCCTAAAAATCTTTAAAAAACAAATAAAAATTTAAAAATTTAAAAAATAGAGAAAAATAATTACCACGAAAGTCAGGATGGTGGTTACTTCTTAGGGGAGGGAAGGCATTATGGGAAGAATACATGGGAGCTTCTGGAGTGCAGGAAACACTATTTCTTGACTTGGATGGCAGTTAAGTAGGCACTTGCTTTATCTCAATTTATCTGTACCCTATTCATAATGTATTTATATATTGTGTACGGAAAGAGAAGATAAAGTACCATTTTATTTTCTCTGGTCCATGCCACCTTGTTCAGATCATGACGCCGAAGTCAGATACTTGCTGGTCCACACACCTATCTTTCCCACCAGATCTCAAGGAGAGGCAGCAACCTTCCCTTTATTTCTGATACCTATCAGTGCCTGGCATGAGGCGGATAATAAATGTTTGAATTGCACTGCATTGACGTTCCCGTCTCTCGTCCCATGGAGAGAGGGGCCGCTGCAGAAGAGGAGGCCTGCTGCGGTGAAGAGCGCCAAGACCCGGGTTCCCAGCTTAGCTTTGCCACTTCCTAGCTGTGTGATTTGGGCAAGCCGCTTAACCTCTCTGGTTCTTGGCTCCCTCTTTCGTGAAATAACTGCTCCCTTCCCGGCCTGCTGTGTGGATTAAGGTACATGCCGAGCACAGTGCTTGGAACACCGTGCTCAACAACGGATAGCTTCTAGACGCCCTGGCCCTAGCTCCGCATCTTTTCTTCAAAAGAATCTCCTAGAAGGGGCACCAGCCAGACATCAAAGATGGCCCCAGAGAGTGGGGCAACACCTTTGGGGGCGGCCCCTGGGGCCAAGGTGGAGCTGTCCTCTGGAAGAGTTGGCAGACTGGGGAGAGCCCGCTGAAGCTAAACTGATCCCGGGCAGTCGATGGGAGTTGGCAGAGGAGATAGGACACCAGGGTTCTGGGAGTTTCCATCCAGGGGAAGTCCCAGGTGTGGGTGCGGGGGTGCCAGGCTGGCCCTACCCAACACCCTGGCTCCAGGGTATGTGGGCCTGGGGAGGAGGAGGAAAGTGGGTCAGAGCAGGGCTGGAATTTAACCCCATTGGTCCCATGACCTCTTTGCCAGCTCCAGGGACTGCGCAGCCACAAAGAAGCCTGCTCCCTCCTCCAAAAGGCCTTCATTCCTTTTCCCTAGAAAGGAAGAACCTTGGCACCTCGGTGTCTGGGCATGAGGCACTGGAAGCCCCCCGGTGGATGGAGGACAGCTAACCCTGGAACCCCTGGATTGAGGCTCTGTACAAAACTGCTACGCCCACAGCCGCCCAGGACAGGCAGACCCCTGCAGCTCTCGCCTCTCGCCTCACCCTACTCCAGGCAACTGAACATGCTCGGGGTTCCAGGGAGGGGGCTGGTCAGGGCCAGACCCCGAGGGGGAAGGGCGCAAGGCAGAGCAGCTTGGAGGAGGAGGCTTTTCTGCCTGGTGAGGCTGTGGCTAGGCAAGCACAGGAATCCCTCATTCTGGGGGATTTGCCAACGGTGTGGGGCCTTGTTTTCTGTGTATAATCTGAGGCCTAAGCCTGTGGTTTCCTCTTCCCTATCTGTGCCTCTATTTCCCTTTCCAGAGGAGGAAATGAAGGAGTGGGTGGAATCACTCCAGGGTGGGGTCACCAGGTGTCCGCCCCCCCCCCCCACTTTGGCCATTAGGAGGTACTTATCGTCTGTCCCTTGAAGCATCTCCAAATCTGGGTGAGGAACAGGAATGGAGGGGCCCTCTTCTTTCCCGGGGAGGGGGCAGGGTGACTGGGAGCCGGGACCCTGTCCCAGGGCCTTTGCATATATTCTTTTGCTGCCTTCCTTTCTCTCCACTCTCTTCCTCAGTTTTGCCCAGAAGCCCCTCCTGATCTCCTTGGCTGGGGGAGAAATCCGTCTAATATTCACTCCCATCATACCTTACGCCTCTGCACGCTGGTTTATCACCTGCAATTTTGTGGATTTTTTGGTTGACATCTGACTCCTCCACCAGAATATGAGCCCACGGCAGCCAGAACCATACCTGGGTACTCCCAAGGTCTAGTACAGTACTAGACACGCAGTGGATAGTCAAGAGAGAAAAAAAAAAAGTTGTTGAATTAATGAAGGGCGCATGCTCAAGGAAGAAATCGCTAGAGTTGTTAGGCCAGTCCCCAGATCCTGTGTTTCAGACTCAAAGCCTTATTCTGTGTGGGGATCTGGGTGGCACTGAGGATGGTAAGGGCCTTCCACCCACAGCTTCATTCACCAAGAAAGCCAACAAACTGGCCATCGCCATCGGGAGAAGAGGCCTGGCCAAAGGGAGGGCATTGGGGAAGCACCTGGGGCAACGCCGGGGCCCCAGCCTCAGGCTGGCCGAGCGGGAGGAGGTGGGAAGGGAGGGCAGGAAGGGAAAAGAGAAGACACGTGTTGTACAAAACATGTTTTCATCACACCCTCCCTGGGTGCCCTGGCCTCCGAGCTCCGATGGCACTTCCATGCCTTAATGATGTCCCTGGGGGCTGTAGCGTAGCTCCCCCACCGCCCACAGACATCTGCCAGCCACCTCTGAGCCTGGCACAGGACGGCCCCCCCAGCACCAGAGTAAGCATGGGATGCTCACCCATTCAACAGTCCACTGGCTGGTGGGGAGAGGGGAGGGTGCTACTTGGGGGTCATGAGGCAAAGAAGCACAGTCAGGGCAGGTGGGTCAGGTGTCCTGTCCTCACAGTGTCCCCTTCTGGTCTTTGTGATGAGGGAAGCAACGGAAGCCTGGTCCTGCGGCCCCCAAGACATCATTTCTCCAAGTTGCCAGGGTGACCCAGTGGAACAACCACAAACAGAGCACAGGCTAGAAATAGGGATGACAGAAGGGAAGAAGAAATGAGGGGAGTTCTCTCCACGGCCTCCAGCGTAGGAGGCCCCCTTCCCAAGTCTCACCCCGGAATCCCTGGGCAGAACACCGGCTGCCTTTGCCTCGCAAGAGGGACAGAGGAGGAAGTTTGACCCCCTCACAATGCCCCACTTCCCAGATCCCCAGTCTGCTGGCTTTTTGTTTTGACTTCGGAACAGACCCCAGTCACTGGGTCCCGGGGAGGGCGGGGGCGGAGGCGCGGCGATCCCGAGGGGAGGGACGGCTCAGGGCGGGTCTTCCTGGGCATCGCCCCCTGGCCGGCGTCCTTGGCTGGGGACGGAGCAGGCCACCAGAAGGGAGGAGCCAGTTACCAAAGACGGATGGATGGACAAACACCCACCAGAGACAAAGACAGAGGCAGACAGACAGACAAACCAAAACAAAGAGAAGGGCAGACACAGATGGAATTTTGGAGCTGCTGACCCTTTCCAGCCCCTACAAGTGTTCAGCCCCCCCTTTAGCTTCCCTGTCTCCATCTGCTGCCCCAGCTGCACAGTCCTAGAGCTCTAGCTCTTGACCTCGACCAGCCCCTGAGCCCCTTTAAGAAGGAGAGGGGGAAAGTGCAGGGAGAGGAGATACCCAGCGGGAAGAGTGTCGGGGGTGGTGCCTGGGTGTGTGTCAGGATGCCCGGCCCAGGGCCAGGGAGGGAGTGGTGCCCTCGCCCGGTCATGAGGACAGGAGACTCATTCACTGTAAACCAAGTACAGATGTGCTGGGACGGGGAGGGGGAATTAGGGCCACTTTCGCAGACCGCGGTTGGGCTGGCCCTCCTCCCGCCAGCCACCAGGGCAGGAGGGGTTAACTTTGCAGCCTCCTGGCAAGATCCCTGCCACACAGGCGGGCGCCATCCCACCCCAGCCTGGATGCCTGGGTCCAACTCCCCGACACTTGCCCCTCCCACGCTGCTGAGTGCTGCTCCCAGGGTAACCAAGCAAAGTCAACAGCAGCCAGGCCACCTGGGGACGGGACCCTGGAGTACCTATTCCCAGCTCTTTCCACCCCTGGAGTGAAAGGGAGGGCCTTGTCTGCACCCCCATTGACGTCTCCTGTTCTCCTGAGATGGCCGCAGCAGCGCGCCCCTTCTCTCCCCCTCTCCATCACCTGACTCTGGCTACCAAAGGCGGCCTTTCCTAGGGGGGAGGACACCTGGCCCCCAGAGGGGTGGTGAGGACAGAGCAGAGTAATTTCGGTACGGAAAATGTGATGACGTGATCAGGAGCCCACGTCCCAGTGCTGGCCACCCTGGGAGTGTTACTGGGGAAAGGTCCTTGGGGTGCGTCTCTCCGGCCCAGCTGGGCCCCCTTTACTGCTCTCCTTCTCTCCTTTCTCACCCCCACCTTCGATCCCCGTGGGAGTGTTTGGGGTCCAGGCACAGAGCGTGGACTTCAGACCCCTCTTTGCCCCTCACTCTGCGGTAGAACGGAGACAAACCCCTGGGTTCCCAGGGTCCGGCTGAGAGTCTTGGTGGCCGGCGTCCCCGTGTCCCACACTGGCGCTGACCCTGGGCAAGCTCGCTCACGCACACCCCGAGTCAACAACACTCGTGGCGCATCTACCAGGCAAGCAGGCGCTGGTTGAGGCCGACACACACCCTCAGCTCGGGCTTTCTCCCTCACACCCAGCCCAAGGCTCCTCCCACCCGCAGCCACAGTTCCTCCTGCCCTCCTCACCAGCCTCTCCCTCTCCAGATCCAAGCCCCAAGGTGGAGACGACACTGGCAGCCAGGGACCCCGGCCCCCTCAGCGGGTGAGAGGAGGAGGTCGCCCAGCCCGGGAGCCTCAGCACCCGCACCCCCCATCCCACTAGTTAGAGCAGTTTGCTCCTGGCACCGAGGACCACCTGGGACAGGCCGGCGGAAGTGGAGCCCCCCAGGGCCTGCGGGGGAGGCTAAGCGAAGGGTAAAGACGGTGGCACCGGGGTCATGCCCTGGGGCATCACTGCGGCGCCTTGGCCTCCCCTCGGGAGGCAGCAGAGCCCGGCCTCGCTCAACCACGCAGCCGCGGACAACCCGGCCAGTGCCCTCGATGGCAGGAAGGGGAGAGGTGCCAGGGCAGGGTGGCATCCCGGGCCACGCCGAGCGCTTGGGCCTGCCTGGCCCGGCCTCCGGGGGGGGGGGGCGAGCCGGGAGGGCAGAGACCCAGGCGTCCCGGGCCGCCCCGCCCCGCCCCCGGCCCCGGGGCACCGAGGAGGGAGCCGGGCAGGGGCAGGCGGCAGGGGAGGGAGGAGCGAGGGCGGGAGGGGGAGGAGGGAGGGGGGTGGGGAGGGAGAAAAAGAAAGAAAATATTTTCCGTGTCCCCGCCTGCAGAGTCAGTGTGCGGTTTGGGAGAAAATGTGTCGGATATTTTGGGGCGGTCACGTGGGCGGGCGGGCTCCGAGAGGCCCCGGGACTGTCCCAGCCTAGAGCCCGCGCCCCCCCGGCCCCGCCGCCGCGGCCGCGACCCCCGCCGCATCCCGGGGCGCCCGACGCGACCGGGCCCGGGCTCGGCCCCCGCCTCCCGTGCAGGTGAGCCGGGCGGGGAGCAGGCCGGGGGCGGCGGGCGGCGGGGTCGGGCCCACGCGGGAGCTGCCGGGCGTGGAAGGGCCGCCCTAGCCGTCGGCGGGGTCCCCGAGCCCGAGCGGCCCCAGCGCCTCCTCCCGGCCGGGCCGTCGGAAGGGCCGGAGCCCGCCAGGCCCGGGGCGCCGCGGCCCGGAGGCCGGTGGACTGGGCGGGAGGGAGGGCTGGGGGCCCCCAAGGCGCGGCTCTGCATCCCGCCCACTCGTCCCGGCCGTGTGAGTCTTGGCCCCCTCGGGCCGGGGAGGGGGGTCCTCGGGAGTCCTCGCCCTCCCGGGGAGCCCAAAGCAAAGCGGGGAAGAGCAGGAGGGCGGGCAGCGACCTGGGCGCCCCCCTGACCGGCCTCTCTGTCTTCAGCGGTGACAGCCCAGGTCCCTCGGCCTGACCCAGAATGTAGGAGGGCATCTCTGCAGGTGGCCGGAGGGTAAGAGAACCGACGCCTGGTTGGGGGGGGACAGGGGAGCCCCAGGAGGAGGAGGGGTCTCTAGGGCGAGAAGCTGAGATGAGTGAGTCCAGGGAGGTGCAGTCCCTCAGGTCTGAGGCTCCTGCCCTTGCTGTCACTCCTCAGATGCTGCGTTGGAGTTGAGGACCACAGGAAGTGTCCCGTATCCTTGAGGCAAGGAGAGAAAGGAACGGGCTGGGGGGCAGGGGGCAGTGTGTGCAGGGTGCCTGGAGCTTGGGTATCCCAAATAGACACACACACACACACACACACACACACACACACACGCACATACACACACACACACACACACACAGGCGCATGCATGCTGTAGCTTAAAGCCTGGTAGGAGTACAGGGCACACACCCCCGCCCCGGCACACCCCCACCCCTGGCTCAGAAAGCCACCTAACTGGCACCTCCAGTTCCCCCCTCGGCCCCACCCTGCCCGTGCCCTCCATTGCCCACACACATTCCACTGGCATTGCCTGCCTGCCTGCCTCCTGGGCACTGCCCCTCCCTGGGGCCAGTGGGGTGGAGGGAGGGCACCTGGGGATGAGAGGTGGAGACTCAAGGGTCTGGACTCCCCCAAGGGTGGCACAAGGCCAGGGAAACCCAGGCCACCGCTGCCTCCTGGGGAGCAGGCTGGGGGCCCAGGCTAGAGCAGAGGATGCCTGGGTTCTCCGCCCAGGCTGGGGATGGGGTCATGGAAAAAGGTGGTCGTGTTTATACAGAGGGGAGGGGGGCAGCGGGTGGAGAGCAGCCGACAAGAGCAGCTTTGTTCCGGGCTCTAGAGCGGGCAGGGCGGCCAGGAGACGCGCCCCCCCCCCATCCGGCAGCCCCCTTCATCCATGCCCTCCCTCAGCTCCACCTCAGCCCTAAGAGAAGCAGCTTTGTAAGGGCCCCTTTACCCGAGTCAGCCCCACCTCCATCCGAGGTGGCATCTCTCCCTTCCACAGGTTCCCCAAAGAGCCAAGGCTTCTGGGGCCCTAGCGTAGGATTCCCTTTTACTCTGTACCACTGTCTTCCATCCCTTGGTGCCTTCCTCCACCCTGGACCTAAGACCTTTCCTTCCCCTCCCAGCCAGGGCAGGGGAGCCCGGGCTCAGAAACGGAGGACTCTGTCTCCTTCCCCTCTGCATCAACACTCAGCTCCCTTCTCTGAGGCAAAAGAGAAGCAAGCCCAGGGAGAGCTGGGCTGGCCTTCACTCATTGCAGCCTCACTCCTCAGTAAGGACCAGGAAGGAGACTGAGCATCCCTCTCTGGGACCCCGAGGTCCTCTTGCCCCACACCTGGAAGTGAGAAGCAAAGACGCTGGGTGCCGGAACCAGAGCCCGGGGGCCTAGTCGAAGGCAGTCTGAAGAAGATGGGGGGGCTCCAGTAGCTTCTCATCCTTGGCATCGGAGGGGTTAATCTACCTGGAATGTGGCCCAGCCTGTTGAGCTATGGCCCAGGGGCCTCTGGGGCCGGGACTCCTGGCTCCACCTGGGCTTAACTAGGGATGAGGACTTGAGGGACCAGGGGAAGGAAAAGGAGAAGGACCCTGGGGGCGTGGGACTCAGCCTTTTAAGCCTGGGGAGACACCGGGCTGAGGAGTTTGAGGGTACCAGGGGTACGCATGATGCCTCGTGAGGAGCAGGGGTTGCTTCACGCATCAGGCCTGAGTGAAGGGTGGTGATGTTGGGGTCTGAGTTTCTGTAACCTCCACGACAGCCTACCTTCAGGAGTTTGAAGGCCAAGGTAGATGAGAGATAGGAAAGAAAAAAAGGAAGGAAGGGAGGAAGGCAGGCAGACAGGCGAGCTGAGGTACAAAGATGGAGAGATACGGATCCTAGAAGCAAGGACGGCTGGAAAGAGATGCAGAAACGCCTGCACGACCCCTGGGCCTGCCCACCCCACGGTCTATATCTGTTCCACTCCCAGTCCTCTGCCCCTCTGTCCTTCAGTCCCTCAATCCGTGACGGTTCTGGCTGCTAGAGGAGGTGCCTAGGCTGGGGTGACTCCTTCCAACTCCCCTAGAGTGGGTGGTTCTGGGCCTCCTGGGAAAGTCAAACTTTCCCTTGTCCGAGGAGCATCGGGAGAGAAGGCACCTGCCCAGCCCTGGTGCTTTCCCGTTTCCTCTCTCCCTCCTTCATCTCTCCCTTCTCTGGCCTCCCTCTGGTTAAAAATCTCCTGGGGCAGGCTACCCTTGAGGGAGGGGAGACTGTCTGGGAGGGCTTCCTGGAAGCAGAGGGTTCAGAGAAGACGGAGAAAAGGAGATGGGGAAGTTAAGTAAGGTGAGGACCAGGAGAGGAGCTGCTCCCTGGCATCACACCTGGCACACAGCGGGGCCTCCATTCATACCTGTGGGTTTGAAGGAGAGTATGCAGGGCAGGTTAGGATGTGAGGGACACCTGGAGACAGAGATAGAACTGGGAGGGGAAACTGGAAGAGGGGCTATTGAGGAAGACGGAGCCAGAAGGAAAGGGCGAATACAAGAGAGCTATGGAGGAAGAGAAGGTACAGAGAGAAATAACACGAGACACACGTAGCATTTAATACGTGCCCTATATTATTTTAAACACCTTACATATGTGAAATCATTAAATCCTCACAACCACCTTATGCAGCAGGCCCTGTTATTCCCAACTGACTAATGAGGAAACTCAACTCTGCAAAGGGAGATTAAGTAACACGCCGAAGGCCCGACGTCCAGCTAGGGAGTGGTGGGGGTCGATTCAGGTAGCCCGGCTCGAGTCCATGATCCTCATCACTGGACCACAACTCCTCTCCAGAGACACGTAGGGCCTCAAAGTTACTTCAGAGATATGTTAGCTTTCCCCAGAGTGGTGGGGAGTTTAAATAGCTTTCTTCTTTTCTTTTCTTTTCTTTTCTTTTCTTTCTTCTTTCTTTTCTTTCTTTCTTTCTTTCTTTCTTTCTTTCTTTCTTTCTTTCTTTCTTTCTTTCTTTCTTTCTTTTTCTTTCTTCTTCTTCTTTTTTTTTTTTTTTTAAATTAAGTAAGCTCTACGCCCAACATGGGGTTTGAACTCCCAACCCTGAGATCAAGAGTTTCACGCTCTACCGACTGAACCAGCCAGGCCTCCCCAGAGTTTGAATCCTGGCTTCACCACTTAGGGCCTCGTGACCTTGAGCCAGTGACTCAACTTCGGTTTCCTCCTCTGTGAAATGGGAATCATAATTCCTACTTCACATTTCACAGGAATGACGTGAAGGTTAAGCCGAGTGTCTAGCACTGATGTGTTCAAGGGTCCCTTCTCAGCTTAGGGGTCCTCCCCCCCCCCTGGAGTCCTAAGACCTGAACTACTTTCCCCTTCCCTGGAGAGTTTTTCTCAACCTGCCTAAGCTCCTTCCCCTTCCTGCCATGTGGTGGAGGCCCCGGACCAGGGCAGCACAGATCTTAGAAACCTGGAGGGAAAAGGCTCCAAGGGGGGAGAGGGCCGCCGGCTTGGGGCTTTAGGGTGACCGGTCTCTTATCCCTCCCTTTCGTCTCTTTCTCCCTAGGACTCTTGGAGGCCCAGTGGGCAGGCCAGGAAGGGCGGGCACGGAGCCTCCCAGGCTGGGGCAGTGGGCATGGGCGGGGGCTGTGGCTGAAGACCTCCCCCGCCCGCTGCAGACCCCCGGGGATTCGGCCTCCCTCACCGCAGCTGCCATGGCCACCAATAAGGAGCGACTCTTTGCGGCTGGTGCCCTGGGGCCCGGATCTGGCTACCCAGGGGCTGGCTTCCCCTTTGCCTTCCCAGGGGCTCTCAGGGGGTCTCCACCTTTCGAGATGCTGAGTCCCAGCTTCCGGGGCCTGGGCCAGCCTGACCTCCCCAAGGAGATGGCCTCTCTGTGTGAGTCTCAGGGTCCTTGGGGGATGAGGGCAGGTGGAAACAGTAGGCCATTGTAGAAGGTGGGTGCTATAGAAAAGTTGGTGGTACCCCGGTTAGCACGGCTGGCGGGGTCGGGGGTCTGATCTAACGGAGTAGGTGACAGGGGTTGCAGGAGGGGGTTTGGACTGGTTTGCAAATGAGAGTTCTCCCGCCCAACATGCCTACAGTGTCGTGGCCACAGTGGCCTCCTGAGTCAATGGCAGGGGGAAGGCTTTGTATGGGCAGCCAAGGGTGGGCCTGGTGAAGTCTGAGGCTGCGTGCCGCCGTGAGTCTAGGGAAGCAGCCCGGGCAGTGGAGGAGTCTGGGAGGCCAGTCAGCCACCTGACATCGAGAGGTGAAATTGCTCTGAGTTAGAGACAGGCAGCACAAGAAGCAAATGAAATAGTGCCAGGTGCCCAAAGACGTGTGGGGTCAGGGACCCTCCTGCTGGTGCCGGGGAGGGTGGACGCGGCTGCAGAGAAGGTAGTAGCTCTTGCACCAGTAGTCTGGGGGAGGTGCAGGGGGTGTTCCAGAAGCATCCTCTCCTCCAGCCATGTGGGTTTTCGACTCCTCCCCTCCCTCTGGGTCTGGCATGGTGCCCACGTGCTGTGCAGATCCCTACTTGTTCCTCAGGCCTGCCCTCTCCGGGTTAAGCCTTTGAGTGCTGACAGCAGACAAGCCTTAGGCCTCTCCTCTTCCCTCTGGATCCCCTTTCCTCCTACTTCGTAGTTGGTCTTCTTGATCCAGCCATTCCAGGCCTGGGTGCCCATGACCTAGAGGGCCGGGCCGCTGGGTCCTGCGGGGCAAAGGGGCAGCATGTGAGCAGGTGTAGAGAGTCCTCACCTGGAAAGAAGGGGAGGTGATAAAAGGAGAGGCACAGAGAAGGGCAGAAAACCAGAGGCGTAGAGACAGGGAGAAAAAAAGAAAGACATCCTTTAGAGCTCAGGGAGAAAGAGGTGGGAGAAAGGGGGCCGTGCCTTTGGGGGGCATCCAGGGGGCTGTGTGGGTGTGTGAGGGGGTGACCAGATGGGGCTGGCCGTTCTGCTGGAAAGGGTGTGCTCGTCTGGAGAAGGTGTGTGTGCGCACCCGCGTGTGCAGACCATGTGCAGTTGCGTACGTCCAGCATGTCCTCGAGACTCTCCCCGCACGCACGGAATTCCAGTGCGCGCAACAAAGAGTCAGTGTGAGGAGGCGACATTTAATAGGGCTGCTGACGGTGTGTCTGGTGCTCCGTGAGACCGGCCCGTGGCGCGTCTGTAGACCAACAGGGGATATCTGGGTGGCACGCAGGTGAACAAGCGAGCACAAAGCCCCCCTTTCTGGAAACCTCAGCCCAGCCGGGCTTCCCCTACCTCATTTACACCCCATGAATCTGTCCCTGAGCCTGGGGAGGTAGGAAGAAACCACCCTCCCCCGTGAAAGTACTGCTTGCAGAGAACCCTTCAACTTGGTCCCTTGGGACTTGGTTTTCGCAGGTTTGGGAGCAAGGAGGGAGAGGAGGAAAAGGATGGTGGTGGGGGAATGCTGAGAGCCAGCAGCCAAGTCCCCAGGGAAGTTCTCCTCTGCCCTGGACACACTGGGATCAAGGGCAGGGATGGAAGTAGTAAGGTCAAGGCAGGGGAAGGGGTCACCCTGGGCTCTATCCCCTGGAGGCCACCCTGAAGGAGGGGGACTGAAAGGAGAGATCCAAGGGAGGAGCCAGAAGGGGCAGGTAGCTGGGGAGGGTGCGGCTGCTGGCAGTGGGGACAGGCCTGGGCAAAGAGGTGCTGGTGGGGTGGGGAGAAGGGGAAGGCTTGGGTCCAGACAGCCTGCATGGGAGTGGGGCATGCAGCACCCAGTGGTAAATGAGAGGGAGGAAGAGGGGAGAGGAGGGGATCCTAGAGGCTGGGAGACCTCCCACAGCGGGAGAGCCGCCGAGGGGTGAGAGTATAGTCTCTCATTTCTCTGACCCCGCTGTCCCTCTGTGCCTGGGGCCACCCAATGGAGAGGGCTTGGAGGCCTGTCTGATGCCAAAGCTGCACTCACCTTGAGTCTGTGTCTCTCTCTTCACCCCCCCTCCCTTAGTCTATGGGAGGGAGGGTGGTCCATGAAGGAGTCTGGAACTTCTCCCTGAGGCTGCCTCCTGGATCCTACTGCTGGGTCCCTAGCACCTTGGAGACATCCACGTTGAGAAGGGAAAGCTTGCTTCACCTCTTGGGGTTCTCCAGGGGCCTGAGTGGGTAAGGCAGGCATCTCAGAACCGTGTGGTGGGAGGGGAGGGGGACGACGGGGAGGGGGGCATGTGCTGTGGGGGCAAGCGCAGGCCTGTTTGCACGGGAAAGCAGAGGGGGTGTGTGTGTGTGTGTGCACGTGTGCCGCTGGGTGTACGAGCTCACACGTGTCCGCGAAAGCCCCGAGTCTGTGTCTCTCTGCGTCTCTGTGTTTAGGAACACTGGTGTGCTCTGTTTGCTTTGTCAAGACTGCAGGGAACAGAGTGGGATGGGAGGGAAGGGAAGCCTGGCCCTCTTCCCCCTCTTAAGGAGGCTGTCTGTGGCACTGAGGACCTAGCCCTGTTCATCCTCTGAGCTTGGTGGTGACAGTGTCCCTGGGGCAAGGAGCCCAGGCTGCACCAGGCTAAGTCACATGGAGAAACTGAGGGCAGGCTGGCACAGGAAGAAAAAGAGTTCTACTTGAAAGAAACTGAAAAAGACAGACTCCGAGACCTAAAGGAGGTGACGGAGAACTACCCAGGCGGTCGGTCGGCACAGCCAACAGAGGGAACCCAGACGCTGGGAGAGGAGGCGGCAGAAGGAGCAGGCGAGGGTAAGGGTGGCGAGCGGGAGCGGGCGGCAGCGAGGCCTCCTCCAGGAAAAAACCCCAGCCGACCGCCTCCTTCCCCTCCCCTCCGGTCTCCTCGCTCGGGCTCCAGCTCCAGGCCTACACAAACGGGGCTTTGATTGCAACAGGAAACCTCTCCGGCGGGGGGAGCCGGGCAAGCCGCCGCGGCTGGGGCCCAGGCTGCACCCCCCTCTCCCGGCCCCCTACCCAGTCCCAGCCCCCATCCTGCCCAGCGATGCCTGCACCCCTGCTTTGGGCCCCGTCCCTCATTCGCACCTCCCTTCTCTCTTTGGCAGCCCCTTCCTCCAGGGACCCCTCCCCGCTGCCCTTCAGGTGGGACTCTGAGTTAGGACTTACCCTTGGGGTGGGGCTTCTTGCTTTGACAAGCCCCCTCTTCACCTTTCTGAGGGAAGGTTTTGGAAGGAAAGGAGAATTTAGCATGAGGAATTCAGAGCCAGTGATCCTCCACCCCATCCAGAAGGTGGCAGGAGGGGGAAAGGGGGGGTGCGGAGGGGTTAGCTGTTCCTCCCTCCCCAGCCCCTCGTTGGCCAAACTCATCCTTTGCCAGGGTGGTCGAGGCTCTGAGGGGTGACCTGCAGGACTCTGGGCGCTAAGGGCCTTGTTAGAGGGGGAGGGGTGCGCTTCTCTTTGCCTCTGGGGTCTTGCCTTTTTGGGGCTCTGGCTGGGAGGGGTGAACCCTGGTGGTGGGGATCACAGATTGGGGGGGTGAGTCAGGCAGCAGCCCCCCCTCATACTCCCACCAGGCTGGTGGAGAACATCTGGTTCCCATGAAATGCTAGAAGGCTAATGGGTCTAATTGCTGCAATAAGGGCTGGGGGGACTTTGGGGATAAGAGGGGGCACTAGGTTCCCCCATCCCCTTACCTTCTCCTCAAGGCTGTACTAAGACCGGCTAGAATGGGGGGGTTGGGGTTGTCGGGAAGGGCGGGCCTGGCACTGTCCTGCCTCCTCCCTTCTAGGGCCCCCTCTCCCTGCAGTGCCTGGGAAACACACAGATGGGGTGACGAGGAGTGGGGTGCATCTGGTGAAGAGAAAGGGGGGCTACTGAAGACTCATGACTTCCTGGAGCCCTCCACCCCCCCCCTCCTGTGCCCCATTCCCAACCCCCCTCTCTGTGGCCTGGCCACTTCTGGTTCTAATTACCAACCAGGCAGGCCTGACTTAATTGGGACCTTTCAGATTTCGGAGGAGGAAGGGGGTGGTGGTGGTGGGGGGGGGGCCTGAGAGCCTGGAGTTGACTAATCAGAGCTCTTTCCCCCTGGTTTTGGGGGTACTTCCCATTTTATAGTTAATTGATTTTTTTTTTTAACGCTGCCCAGATTCTGATTCAGAAATCTATCCTCGCCCTCCCTTTTTTGGTGTGTGGGGGTGCTGGACTCGAACTGGGCATTCGAGGAGGCAGGGAAGCTCTCGCTGGGTCACAAGGCACAGCCCTTCCCACCTGGGCCGCACTTCGCCCCCCCACCCGGTCGGCCCAGCCCCCACTCCGCCCCTCCCCTCCCCTCCCCGCGCCCGCCTGCCCCTCCCTGCCCGCTCTGGCACCCCTTCCTGCTCTTTATTCTTCCAAACTGGCGCCCCCCGCCCGCGGCACCCCAGTGCGCCCCCCTCCCGGTACAGGAGATTCTTAGAAGAGCGCGCCCCGCCCTGGCGCAGCCGCGGGCGGGGGGCGGGGGGGGGCGGGCGCCGCTCCCGCTCCCCCTCCCCGCCGCTCCCGCTCCCCGCCGCTCCCCCTCCCCGCTCCCGGGCGCTCCCCGGGGGAGCCGCGCTGACCGGGCCGGGCCGGGCCGGGCGGGGGCGGGGCGGGGGCGCGGGGAGGGGGCGGTTTCCGGGAGTCGCGGCCGCGGGCGCTGTCCCGGGGCCAGGGTCCCCGATTCGGCCGGCGGCGAGGGCGAGCTCTTGACGTGGCCCGGCCCCCGCCCCCCTCACCCCTTCTCCGCCGGGCGAGGGCGCTCAGTGCCCGGAAGGGGCCACCGAGGGGGAGGGGAGGGCGCCGCGGCCGCGGGGGGTGCAGTGGCCCCAGGACCCCGGGCGGCCGACCCGCAGTGGCGGCCGAGGGGCCCCGGCGCTCGGGGGCAGCGGGCGCGGTGCGCGGCCTGGGGAGGGCGCGCTCGCCGGGGCAGGCCCGCGGTGGCACCGTGGGGGCGG